AAACATGCGTATTCATGGCAATTCGATGATGCAAGTTCTTTCAAAATTACCAGCACGCAAAAGCTACGTACGTTATACATCGATTTACATTTAATATCCGCGTTGATATAATGAACAGAACGGCAATTCGAATTATCTATTGCCGTTTGAAACGTTTCGTTTTCATGTTATTTGCATATATTTGCTCGCTTGACGAAACGAATCGGTTTCAGCATTACGATTTAATGATAATAGAACGCGTAGCGAGCCATAGCGCGTGCACGTAATCGCTAAATCGCGAACGTTTAAGAAGAAGAAGAAGAAAAAAAACGAATATTATTGATAAGAGTGTTATCACTCTCCTGCTCGGCTGGCTCTGGCCGTACAGCTGTAGACATTTGCTCCAATAAATTTTAACACACACACACACACACGCGCGCGCGCGTACGTGCTTGTTCTACTTGACGAATAAAAACGGAAGCCATAACAAGAAAAGAGAAAGAGTAAGTTATCGTAAAACAACTACAATTATAGTGCGAAGGAATTAAAAATTACGTAGTAATTCCTGAGTGTAAGACGTTGCGAGTGATCGCAAAAAAACATATGACTAATGTGGTGCGGTATTGTATGTATAAACAGTTCTACGACAATGGTTTTGTGAGTAACGTGCTCCCGATATGACGAGATAAGTCAAGGCTTAAGGAAACCAGTTGCCATTGCACTGAAAGAACTTTTTGAGATATATGTGTGTGTGTGTGTGTGTGTGTGTGTGTGTCCTTGTCTATCTTCTAATTTTAATATCGATTGATTACGCTTAGATGATCTTGTTATAGAAATTTTTTTTATGAATTTTTCAGAGAGACAATGTCCCCGTCGGTCGAACCGTTGCCAATTCAGAAATTGGACACACTTCTAGCACAAGCTCTTGGCAATGATTTTCGAATAAGGCAGCTCGAATGGAAACCTCTAACCGCGCCGGGCGAAAATTTCGGCAGCGTCATGTTGGCCATCACCGTCACTCTGACACGGCCGAGCAACAAAACCGAGACTCTGAACCTGGTGGCGAAACTTCCACCTACCTCCGCCTATTTATTGGACTTGTTCAACAGTCCAGTGACGTTCAAGAAGGAGCTACGCTTCTACGACATGATGGCCGAGGAGTTCATTAATCTTCAGGCAGAAAATGGCCTGAACGAGAAGGATCTAAGCAGCCTCGTGCCAAAGTTCATCGTGGGACGAATAGGCTTGAAAGATCCAAGAGAATTCGACGAACAGGCAGTCATCATTCTGGAGAACCTGAAATTCAGTGGCTATAACACGGGCGATCGAATTCTTGGGTTGGACAGGAAGCACACGGAATTTGCAGTCGAAAACCTGGCCAAGCTACACGCTCTGACCATTGCTTTGAGAATGAAGAAACCGCAGTTGTACGAAAGAATAGCGGCGGAGGTGATGGTGGGGGTTTTAAACGAGACGACAGAAAAATGTGTGAACGACATGGTGAAGAAAACTCAATCGGATTGTCAGGGTATAGAGGAGATAAAACCGTATTTGGATCAAATTAACAGGACCATAGAGCGCGATAACCAAGCAAAGAAGAATCCTGCGAAACCGGAGGAACCATGGCCGACATTGATTCACAACGACTTCTGGGTGAATAACATGATGTTTCGGCACAATGAGAAAGGAGAACCAGTCGATATGAAGATGGTAGACTTTCAATTGTGTTTATGTGATTACGGCGTGAAAGATCTCATCTTCTTTCTCATATCGAGCGCAAATAAAGAGATTTTGGACAACAATTTAGACGATATGTTCGAGTTGTATTATTCATGTTTCATTAGAATGCTAAAGACGTTGAAAGTGGACACGGAAAGATTTTCAAAGCAGAAGTTCGACGAAATTCTGAATCGCTGTGGGCCTGAAAAATTCACTCATTGCGCCATGATGACCCAAGTAATTCAAGCGCCAAAAAGGAATTCCTCAGAGTCGAAAAATGTGGAAGGCAGCGACGTTTTCATGGATGTATCTAACAATGAAATATATAGACAAAAATTAATCCACACTGTGACTCTATTTGATAAAAGAGGTTGGCTACTGAAATAATATTATCGCTGTAGTATCTTATCTTATTAAACAATTCAATAGTATTTTCATAGCTAAATAGAAAATACAAAGTACAAAATTTTTTGTAGAATAAATGTTAATATATGATACAATGGTAGAATTTGTGTAAGATACTTTTATACAAAAAAAGTGTACATAAATTGTTACGTTGAAAAAGTTAGAGATTTGTAGAGTATGAGAATATAATAATGTCAAAGAAACACCAAATATGTTCTTATGAGAATCTTATATCGTTAAGCTTTAAGAAACAAGTACACAGTTGTTTGTAAATGTCAAATTCGAATATAGCATGGGTGTTCATTCTATAATTTTAAACACCTGCCTCACGTTGCTTTGCACATATACTTGTTTTTCGAAATAAAGAGTCTATTTTATTATATAAACACAATGTATATGAAATCTATTTCCTACTGAATCTGAATAATGACATGTTACGTAAACTTCCTGATTTATGTTCCCAAAACAATTCACAGTATAATGAAATATACGTGAACCAAGAAGGGTCCTATCTTGTTTCGTTTCGACATGACATTGAAATGCATAAATTACAACTATCTATTCCCAATCGGGCCTAATCAATCGAATTAACACTAAATAGTCAATAACGATCAGCTCTTTGATTGTACGAAAACATTAACTGATCTCTATTTACATGGATCACGTTTGTTAATAAGATTGAGAAGTAAAAAATAAAAACAGCAGCGAATAACTATAGGTCCAGTTGTTAATGAATTATGAATACATTGGTTTGTATACACTTTTACGTTTCTCAGAATACTTTACCGAAATGTTTTTGAACGCTATTACAAAAAAGTAAGAAAAGTACTCACTTCCAGCAGATCCGCTACCGTGTCAGGTAAGTTGAACTCTCTCACAACACGTAATCGCACTTGCCTATTAATTTCGTGTCGCGACGAGAGCGGCAAACTGATAGCTCTCTGACAACTAGGAGACTGCCTCAATTTCTGCTCTCGCTTCATCATAGCTGCCAAGGTCGCGGAATCTGGAACTTAAATAGAACGCATATACCAAATACCCAGTCTTTTTCTGGAAGAGTAAATTTCTTCGTATCTTGTGAAAACACAATAAAACGATAAAACAGTCTGATAAGAAAATAGCGATCAAAATACCTGGAAACGCCGCAGCTAGAACATCCACGCCGGCTGTACCTATTGGTCTTGGTTTCTCATCAACCATGTACAAGGCATCGGGAATATCGGCCACATATCGTGGCCTTCGTAATCTCACTAAATCTGCTTCTTGGACCATTTGTTCCTCAACTAAAGACTGTAAAGAAATTGATTTAACATAGATTAGAAAACATCAGAATGAATCAATTTTGTTGTACTGTGATATAATAACTATTAGATAGTAATAGAGAATTATTCAAATCATCTAGATTTTTTAATTAGAAGAAATATTTCTGTACATTTTGATTCGTATTATGATACTTCCAAGTTAACAATTCTATTCACAACTATAGGTTATCTCGACGTGAAAATTAATACCGTTCTTAATGAACTCAAATGATAAGATTAGCAAACAATATCGTCATTTTCGTTGTAACTGATCTTGCACAATATGAACGACTTTGCAACTTGCGCTTACCTTTATTTCTTCGTAATAAGGCATAAACAGGCGTGGCCTTACAAAAAATCCATTTTTCTTCCCTCCCCTTATCCATGCATTCATCCGTAAATTTTCCCTCTCATCCCCTATCATATGACTCGGTGGAGTTGATACTAATCCTCTTCTAATAGCCTAAATATATAAAACAGCTTCATTGAGTACCACGCGAAAATGGATGTCTATAATAGCTATAATAGAACGAATTTAATGTACTCGTACTTGAGCCAGCGCTTCACTATTTGGAGGTAATATGTGATCCATTCTGACAAGTGGTAAAAGTTCGCTAAGTATCTCTCGTAACTCTATGTCGCTTAGATCCCTCTTCTTCAACCCCTTTCTTGTCACGGAGTGCACCGTATGACTGAGCAAATTTGGTTCCCGATCCTCCATACGACGCACCAATTCTTGTTCCCCCCACTTGAGTACCGCCTGCAGTATTTCAAGTTCACTCGCTTGCAAGAAATGGCTTTGCAAGACATTGGCTAAATGCGCGTGATCCAGTTGGTGGAGAATAGAAGACGAAGCGACTGGCTGGAATTCTTCCCTTAAATAATGTAACGCTTGTCTATGTACCCATGCCGATCCGTGAGGTTGACTGCCCCACCTGTAAAAACGTGATTGGTAATTATCGGTAGGAACAACGAGATTAATTAATAAGATTTCGAGAACTGTCGGGACGACTCACTTCAAAACGGTTGGAAGCGATTCCAGTGTAAGGTATTCTAAAATAAGATCTTCACAACCCTGTGATAATATATCTAGCTCCAAAAATCGGCCGATTTGGTACAATTCCATTGCTTCTTCTAAGGGGCTTGGTCGAACACGTCCAGTATGAGTAAGAGCCTGTACCTGAGACAAAAATAATTTACAAGTGAATAATAAATCATCTCTCTTGAGATTAATTAATAAATAATAAATAATTAATAAATGGTGTAACCGCTTCGAAAACATATGTGGAAAATACGATAATTACCTCTCCGAGACTACCAGCGCTGTTCCCGCAACCATTACCTCTCATAATTAACGATAAATCAACTGTATCTAAATACACTGCATGTAACAATACTCTGGCATATCGTTTCGGTATTACACTCTCATCCAAAACTATTCTAGTGGGTATATGAAGCGCTCTTTCTGTGTGATCTTCACCAGATCTAGTCCGTCTTTGTATTAAATTCCTGAAGAACGGAGATCTCGCAGAAAGTATCGCTTTGTGACATGGCAGTTCTAACTTTGGCCGGAATCCATATTCTGAACTTCCACTATCTGGTCTCTGGTAATCACTGTCCGACGTGAACACTAACGCGGCGTCCGCGTAATCACCAGTATCCAACAGATATCTGAGATCGTGTTCCAGCGGATTTGGCGTGCCGAATTCTTCGCTCAGTCGCCGCAACAGATTCGCTTCCAGGGCTGCATCGTGTGGACAAATATCACCAGTGTAGAGATATCGCAGCAATGCCGAAAACATTTGTACTTCGAGATTCGGTGTTCTCAGCTCCAAGCATACCCTAGCACCGTATC